GATAGTGAATGAAAGTAAAAAATTGTCAAGGTCAGAAAATAAAAGAAAAATAAGAAAGATAAACGCAAGCGAAAGAAAAGGTAATCTTTATGAAATATTTTGTTTTCTCCATTTTATGATTTAATATAGGTTTTAAGATTCGCAATCTATATTCGAATTTCTTTTTAAAAAAAGCAGCAAGACAAAAAAATATAAGTAGCCGCGAGGGAGGAAATATAATCTAAAAGAATTTCAAAAAAGGGTTAAAGAAAAGGAAAATGTTAAGCACGAAAAAAAAGCAAAAACACTTTAAAACGAAACTAACGTGTCGATCTCTGGAGCATCTCCTTCCACTGGTCTAAGACATTAATCAAAAATTAATTCAAAGACCAAAAAAAATAAGAAAAATCGATCACAGAATAAAGACACAGTAGTTAAAAAAATGTTTTTTTTTCTATAGACTGGACTAAATTAGCAAGCAAAAAAGCAAGTGCCAAAAAATGCGAAAAATACAAGTTAAATTACTACATGGAGATAAAAACGTACTAGAAAAAATGTGTTAAAGTTGAGACAGAGATAAGCATTCTACAAAAAAATGAGAACTACGGAAAACAATCTTCTAAATCGTTTTCTACATGTAAAATAGCAAAATGTAAGTAAATACAGCAGTACAAAAATATGAAACCTCTTCCAAATCTTCTTCATACACGTAAAAATAAATACATCATTTTCCACATTCGTAAATGAAATCAAAATATTCATTTACTTTCTCTCAAAGAAAATTCAAAAAGTAAAAAAAAAACACCATGTATAAAAAGAAAAAAGAAAAAAAAATCAATAACTAAAAGCAGTAGAATGAAATAACAAAAAAAAAGTCATTTCTTCCTTCTACACAAATAAAGGAAATAAACAAATACAATAAAAAAAACATAAATAAATAAACAAGACTAAAAAAGCCGTTGCAGTCAGTAAGCAGTGTGCATGTGCGTGTACAGTCGTCAGCAGAGAAATGACGTCAGAATAAACAGCGCTCCTTCACATCAGCCGCTACGCCACAGGTTACCACAGTAGGGAGAAAGAAAAGACGACTTGTGTATGAAAAGAAAGAAAGAAAAAAAAAGCAGTAGCAGAAACACGTGTATCGGGACTAACTTGGCAGCCGAGATCGCCTCTTCGGCAGTGATGTCCTCCTTGAGGTCAGCCAGGGCGTCTAAGATGGGCTTCACCTTCTCCTCTTGGGTCAAATCCGCGGCCTCCAGGGATAATCTGGATCGAGGCAGTGCACGCGTTAACACTGGCGCCCTCTCTACTCGACACTACGGCGGACCGGGAGGGAGGGCAGGGCGGGCGACCTTCTCGGAGGGCGGGGGAGGAGGTGGGTGGAGAGGGAGGGGGGAGGGAGAGGGAGCGAGGGCGGTAGGAGGGAGGGAAGAAGAGGGAGGGAGAGCAGAAGGAGATGGAGAGGGAGAGGAAAAGAAGTGAAAGGGAAGGGGGAGGGACAAGGAGAAGGAAAAGGAGAGGGAGACGAAGAGGAAGGAGGGACGGAGGAAGGAAGGAGAGGTAGGGGGAAGGGAAGAGGGCGGGAAGGGAGAGGTAAAGAGGAAAAGAAGGAAAGAGAGAAGGAGGGAAGGGGAAACGGAGAAAAAGGGGAGAGAGAGAGAGAGAGAGAGAGAGAGAGAGAGAGAGAGAGAGAGAGAGAGAGAGAGAGAGAGAGAGAGAGAGAGAGAGAGAGAGAGAGAGCATGGCAGATTTGGACACAAGATTTGAAAAAAACCTCTCCAGAGAAACGCCGATGGGGACAAGGCCAAGGGATGATGAATGATCCAAGAACCACAGACAGATGGTGAACAACCCATTACACATTGAACACAAACAGTGCCTGTGTCAGTAAAGTGAAATTATATTCATATTCCATTATTTAAGGGATTGAATAAAATCTCCAAAGAAAAAAAACGAATGCAAACAATATAAAATCCAATAACGGCCAACAGGAATCTACAGGTGGACGAAAGACAAACACTACGAGTGGGAATACTATTCAAGGACCAAAAAAATGTGACAATGCAAACAGTGTAAAGGTACAAACAAGCTTTACTACGAGACAAAACGTATATAATGCACATAAACACGGTACTTGTATGTATCGTGTGAGGACATACACACATACTGTACAATGTGGGTACAATTTTGGAGGGAAAGACGACAGCCACAGGAATTTGTAAAAAAAAAAAAAAAAAATCAACATCTACTTGCGGATAAGAGAATTGCTACCTCCTTAACCCAAAGACTCCACAGGCGAATCTAAGGGGCATCTAAGACCGATCAAAACGAGTCTTCAGATCAGAGAAGATGTCTAGTTTGTGTTAAGAACATCTAAAAGAGGAGTTAGAGAGAGGAATGCAACCCTGAAGGTACACCTTGAGCAGATACTTTAGTTGACAGGTTTGACGGTTTTAGAAAATTATCAAATGGAATGGTAAGTTCAAAATAAACACTAGAGTCATTACATTACGAGTACATTTATATGTGCATATTGATGTGCTCTTAATGTTTCCTGTACTTTTTTTTTTATTAAACGCGCTATTAGCCAATTCAAATAATATGTGCAATTTTCCTGTCAAACGAAAGCATCAAACACCCAAAACGAATTTCCTTCCTCTGCAACAGGAATCCTCGCCCCCCCCACTCCATCATTATTTCCCAAGGATGGCGAGTAGAACGAATTTGCAACTGCTACTGCTACTTAGGGTCAGGGATGTCACACTCAGTGTAATCTACTTTTCTGTGACTTTCATTTCCTACTTTTCATTATCTATGAATTTTATCTATTCTTTATCATCTGTACCTCTTTATCTAAATTCTTTTATCTATCCTTTTTATATATCTTTATTATATGTATTGTTTATCTCATCTTTCTCAAAGACTTTCTTTATTTCTTTATAAAAAAAACTTTTTATTTTATCTCTTATAATCCAAGTTAATCACTGCTACTTCCACAACCACTAATGCTGCTGCTTCTGCTATATTTCAGTATCTCGATCATCCTACTGCTTTATTTCCCAATGTTCATTTAGTAAAATAAAATAAGTAAATATTATATAAATACCTAAAAAAGAATAAACTCTTTGAAAATGCTCCAAACTGGTCTCCAGAATGCGGAAAGAGCGATTCGAATCCCTTATGCATCCTAGAGAGAAGTATCAGAACCTCTTTAAATACAAAAACAAAAACAAAAGAATACTTACTGTTCGCCTTCCGGTTTTTTGCCTTCTTCAGCGGGCGGCGCAGCGTCTCCTTCTGGTATCTCAGGTAACGCCGGTACTGCTAACGGTACTAACGGTCCTGCCTTTTCTTCCTTTTCTTCAGCCTGGGGTATGAGAGGGCAAAGGAGGTTACATGATCTGGTATGATAAAACATTTATATAAAAAAAGAAAAAATTAGAGTAATGCATAGCAAAAAATCCATCAGAAAGGTAAAACAGCAGGAGGTACTGTGGTTAAATGAACAAATCGGGTATCTTCAGAACGTTTTTCACGTTTCCTTCTGAAGATGTTTTAAAGCCCTACTAAGTATGACCGATCAAGCTAAATCGACCTGATCTGCTCTAGACCAGCTTTAAGAATCGAGGAATCAGCATGAAACAATTCAATTACTTCAGTATTGGAAGTTCCCTACCATAGCTAACGTGGCACCACGAGGACGAGACTGATTTGTTTTTAAAAGCATACAGTATCTGTTGTCACAATATAAGGTGTTTTCCTGTTCAAATCTCATTCATTTATATTTCCACTAAAGGAGAGTCGTTTAAAAAAGCGAGAGTAAGCGAGGTATTCCTGAATACAAGAAACGCATTAATTGCAGCTCCTGTCGTGTAAAGATCATCGTTCTCATACATGTACATGAATCCTGTTCCAACGGACCAAAATTCCTGAGACTCGCCTTTTCCACAGGAGGTCCTTGCATGAGACCCATGAGAGCCTGCCATACATTGCGTAACACGTAGAACACTCCAAACGCGCTGTGGTACATGATGAGGAACAGGAGGCGACAGAAGCCAACTGCGAGTTCGGTGGACGACATCTGCTTGATTTCCTTGATCTTCTTCTTGAGGTTGGAGGGAGCGAAGACCGAGAGACCCTCGAGCATCTGGTCCTTCACGCCTCCGATCTTCGACTTGATCAGGTCCATGCCGGTCCTTGGGGGGGAGGGGGGCAGATGGGGTTCGTTATACGGATATATAGTTGTATATTTAAAGACAAGCAGTTACACACTGTCAGACGCTAGGTATGGTGATGCTACTTTTTCATTGGTTAGACGGGTATACGAGTGTGCATTATTTCTTCTCGGCTTATGCAATATTATCTTTTAAATGATCTTCCCCTCATTTTTCTGTATTTTTTAAAAATATATCCTTTTACATGCACGCCGCAATACCTACTTTTCTTCTTCGTCTTCACTGAGGTACTTGAGGCCGTCCGCGTTCGATTTCTTGGACATGGCATCGTCTTCCTCTTCCATCAGGGCGGTGGCGTGCTGCATCTCAAAGATGGCGTCCTCGCAGAAGTTGACGAAGGCCTCCAGCTTCTCCTTGTCTCCCTCAGTGACGATGGCGTAGAAGAAACTGCGCTTCGAGTCCTTAATCTGAGGCTTCTCCCACTGGTCGATGTTCTCCTCCTTGATCTCGAAGTACACGCGTTCGATGCGCTTCGAGCTGCCCATGATCTCGATTCGACCCAGGAAGGGCTCGAAGTAGTTCAGGACAGAGCCGGCAGTCTGGGAATGCAGTATCACGTATTATTTCCATGATATAATAAGGGCGGTGATGATGATATCAACAATTATATTAAATAATAATGATGATAACAAAAATAATACTGATAATGATGATTATGATAATAATAATAATAATAATAATAATAATAATAATAATGATAATAATAATAATAATAATAATGATAATAGCAATGATAATAATAATAATAATAATAATAATAATAATAATAATAATAAAAATATTAATAAAACTAATAGTAACAACAATAAGATGATAATGATATTGACAATGGTAATAATACCAACAAAATCAATAGCAAAAAAAAAAACAAAAAAAAAACATCAGCAACGATGCAGTACAAAATCATCACCTTGAGACCGATCTTACCTCAAGGAAGCGCGCAAGTCGGGGTTCGTTGGGCATGTGTTCGGACAGGTTGGTCAGCAGCACGGCCAAGTTGAAGCCGATTTCCTTGGCCGGGTTGTGGAAGCGCTCGGTGAACTCCACGTAGTCGATCTTGCCGTCGTGGTTCGTGTCGCAGCACATCAGGAGGAAGTTGATCTCCTCGCTGGCGGAAAACGACGGGAGGTATGACGATTTACGTAGACGACGTGTCATGGATATGTACTTCTATACTGTGCTTATGTGTCATGGGTATGCTGTTTCATATTATACTTATGTGTCATAGATATGTACTTCTGTGCCATACTTGTGTGTCATGGATAAGTACTTCCATACTATACTTAGGTATCATGAGTATGTACTCGCAAACACAGATACTCTACGCACTGTACAGTGTACTCGTGTAAGTAGAGATATATACCAATAAAACACTCATTACAGTAGATACAAAAGATGCAATGTAATCAAAAGACGTGTTCAGAAATACAACTCACGTGGTGTAGTTCTTCTGCTGTTCCATTTTCTCCTTGAACTCGATGGGCGTGACAGTGCCATCTTTGTTGGTGTCGAGTTCCTGTGGGATGAAGAGGACGTCAAGATCCCATCCTTTCGTTCCCATGGTAACCCATCCCTCTTTCTATTAACGTTGTAAAATAGTTATCCTTCCCTCTTTCTTTATTTCTTTCTTCCTTTCGTTAGTTAGTTCAATATACTTTATTTTTACAGTCTATCATGTTTATCCCCTCTATAGCTCTATTTAATTATCAATTTCCCCTCTAATTTTATCATGAATCTTCCTAAATTCCATAAAGGTCATTAGATAAACATTTTCCCATAGAAAATTCATCCTTTACTGCCTAATTCACTGTATTTTTGGTATGAAGACACGGTGAGGGCTCTCTAATTTCCCGTCTCTCTAACACTGTCGGGATGTTCTCTTTTATGTTTCCTTTGTTGCCATGGAAACCTTAATCTACTGTCTTCTAATATCCAAAGTCGTCATGAAACCCTCGCTATTGACTTCACTAACTGTTGTCATGGTAACGTGACATTTTTCATGCACCGGGAAACTATTGCTACATCTAAAGGTGCATCTCTCTGTTTACATTCCCATTAGTCTAATGGTGCTATGAATCATTCTAGGCTACAGTTTAAATCACTACTATCTTCCATTTTATATCAATGTCAGACAAACTTTTCCCTTTTTTTTCTCAAAATTAAATTGAATGATGTATAAAACTGACAGAAAAGTTGAAAATATCTGTTTATCATCATTACCAAAGGCCGCATCATAAAACCTTTATCATTAATTAACTTTGTGGAATATACATTATACAAATATCTGAATCTTAAATCCATATATGCAAAAAAAATCACATATACAAAAGAATAAGAGAAAATCAAAAAGGCTTTTCTTAAATACTTAAATCACTCTGGAGAAAAGCATTCGCAATATCAAAAATTACTCACGTAGAGAAGGTGACACTCGATAGTGAATCACGTCTTCAGTTTGAAAAAAGCTAAAACTAAGAGTAAGCAATTGCAATGCAACTCTATGTGATGTTGTGCTTGGAGTGGACTAAGCACATTGCAAGAGTCTCTGTATCATATCTTCCTCTCTGTTACATAAACTTTAATTTAGAGACTTGAAGATGTCTGAATCATGCAACCCATTGGAAAAGAATGTTTATAATATTTGCCTTGAATTACTAAAAATAATTGACTTTACAAACAAAAAAATGGGAAAAAATAACTATATACAATTCTGTATATTTTTCTACAGCTATCTTCAACTTATAATAAAAAAACAAAAGAAAAATAACATAAAATCAATTTCAAAAACAGTTTGCAGGTCAAGTCATTGCATCTGTCCTTCCAGAAAGTTATCTACAATTAAAAAAATCAGAATATATCTATGCTTAAGAACTCATGGATATGTATTTCTTTAAGTTGACCAAAATTACATTATCACGTTCATATCAAGTTTCAACAAACAAACAGAAGCATAAGCAATGGACTTACATATATGGTCTTACATATATAGTCTTTACTGGACAAAAATAGGCTGTGTGGACAAGGATGAACGAAGCAATGATCTGATTAAAACAAAATCTATGTGGGGAAAAACGAAGAAAAAAAATAAAAAGTCAAATAAAAGTCCAGTCAAGTAAATTCATCAAAAAAATCCAAAGAAAAAAAAATCAGCATTTTCCGTAAAGATTTTTGCTTTATTGTTTTCTTTTTCTTTGCCTTCAATAAACACGCCAAGACGAGACGAGGATACACGACTTCTCTTGAAAAAAAAACTCTTAAGGGAGAAACGTACCAGGTTTCGCTACACACTGTATGGCGGAAAATCATGCAAATCCACACAACAAAATACATGCACGCCTTTTTTTTAACACGTGTGCGTGTCATCACATTTTGGGTTGTTTAGTGCATGCTTTTTTAAATATACTCCTCCAAACTCACGCACACACACACGAGCGCATACAGCCCAATGACCTTTTAAAAAATCGAGTGCAATTGTGTTGATTTCGTACAGGAAAAAAAAAAATAGTGAAGACCGTGTACAAATAAATCACAAAGAAACGACACAAAAACAAAAATCCTGTTTTTCTAGGTTTTCACTAGAAAATTTGAAGAAAAAAAAAATGTAAATAAATAATAGCTGTTCATATATTTATTTACTGGTGTATGCGAGACGGGTGAGCGAGCGAGGAGAGGGGGAGGGGGAGGGGTACAAACCTGGAAGGTTGTCGAGCTCGTGAGGTCCCTCAGTTTAAGGAACATATCGAAGTACCTCAGAATCAGCTACAATCGTGAAAAAGAATGGAGAAGAAAACGAACACGTAAGAAAAAGAGATCACTATAAATCTGTTAGAACCTGGTGGCTATGGAAAATTATAAAATGGTGCTCCCGGTACTTTTTTTTTTATTGTTTTTTTTTTTTTGGCGCCTCCAATCCATCAGGGTCGTTGCGTCTTCTCAAACGCTGCCGTGACACATGACCTTCTCGATAAACAAATAAATAAAAACAAAACAAAAAAAAATAATAATAAAACAACTACGCCGACATTGTTTTCACGTAGATCAAACGCGTAACTAAAAAAACTGAAAGAGAATCCCACTTTCTCGCCGGAAAGTTGATGTCACTGGAGGCGCCTTGACTCTGACCAGGACTGCAGTGCGCGCCGGGTGCCGGTTCTACCGCTGTTGAGCTTCTGTCTGACGGAAAAGCAGGAGGCTGAGGAGAGGAAGCGAACCAGGAAGAGAGAAAGACAAAAGGGAAAAGAAAGAAGTTGAGAGAGAGGAAGATAGTGTGATAGATAGAGATAGACAGATAGACAGATGGATAGAGAGAGCGAGAGAGATAGAGGAAGAAAGAATGAGAGAGAGAGAGAGAGAGAGAGAGAGAGAGAGAGAGAGAGAGAGAGAGAGAGAGAGAGAGAGAGAGAGAGAGAGAGAGAGAGAGAGAGAGAGAGGGGAGAGAGAAAGAAGAGAGAAGGAAGAGAGAAGAAAGAAGAGAGAGAGAGAGAGAGAGAGAGAGAGAGAGAGAGAGAGAGAGAGAGAGAGAGAGAGAGAGAGAGAGAGAGAGAGAGAGAGAGAGAGAGAGCCAGTTTTCACAAAAGAGGAGTTGAAAAAGCATTGAATAAATCATCCTTTCAGTGTGTCGATGTGTAGGACGTTACATAGAAGTGTGTGAGTGAAGTAAGATGAAATGAACACAGGGAATGAGTTATGCAGAAGAGGACGCGTTAGAGGGAGCGACTAAGAGACAGACAAACAAAACGGTTTTTTTATGAAGCTGAACGTGGAACGGACACCCGGCGTGGACAAAGGGACACTCGGATATCAAAGAAGCGTGCCTGGGCGCTTTAAGGCCGAGGTTGCAAATGAGGTGTCGCAATCTTGCAGTGGTAAAAAAAGGACGCCGACTTGGCATTCCTGAGGCCACAACTCGTCCCGCTTCAGACGGCGTCAGCTTCCATGACAGTTTTTTTTTATCATATATCATTTCTATCTATCCATTCATCTATCGTTTCTCTTACTTTTTTTTCAACATCTACTCTCCCAAAGTTGCCCTTCCAACCCGTCACGAAGACCCGATACATAAAGCAAATCCCATCCTCCATTTGAAAGTGACCTAAGAGAAATCCCCGGTGCCTAGTGAGCCAGCCAGGAGGGTCTGACAGCGGCTGGAGGGAGAGTGTGTGACCAGAGGATCGGAGTGTGAAGGTGGGGAACATCTGCTCTCCCAAAGTTGCCCTTCCAACCCGTCACGAAGACCCGATACATAAAGCAAATCCCATCCTCCATTTGAAAGTGACCTAAGAGAAATCCCCGGTGCCTAGTGAGCCAGCCAGGAGGGTCTGACAGCGGCTGGAGGGAGAGTGTGTGACCAGAGGATCGGAGTGTGAAGGTGGAGACTGCGGCCTACCAGGAACGATGCTGATGTTGTCACCTCCTTGAGCCTCAAGAAAAGGTTGAAGAAACGAACGATCATCTGCATTGTGCGATAGATAAATAAAAGAGTAAAGTTATTTCAGTCTTTCTTAGTGTTGGAGGGATCGTCTGTTCAAGGAGGGCGGCCGCACTGGGCGACACGCCCGCACATCTGCTCCACATTCACTCTGTCTAGTGTTTTGGCAGAATTTGCAGTTTTTTTTTTGTACATTTATTATGATTAACGTGGGTGTGTTCGTGAATATAAACAAGGGGATATGAGACTATATACATGGGTGCTTGTCTGTGAGTTCGTATGTACACATATATAGTTAAACAGATAAGCAGACAGATAGATAGGGAAGTAAATATGCCAACATATGCCATCTGTCTATCATTGGGTATGATAAATAGATAACACCGATATATAACAAAAGTATATAGAAAATCAGACACAGAATTGATAAATAGATAGATAGTTATAGATATAAATGATATATATACAAGTATATGTGCATATATTCGATACACATTTAATAAAAATAACTAGAATTAATAATCATCTTTCTTCTCAAACCTGCAAGGCAATGTCTATAAGTCTATGTCAAATAATATACATACATATTTCATAGATCTGGAAGCAAAAGCTGCAATTAATATCATAATTATTCCATATATATACCATGCAAGCCAATATCATTCAGTAATTTACAGTATTGTTTCAGATTGATAGAAATAAGTGTTTGATGTTTGACGAACATTTTCATTAAAAAAAATCGATGTTATCATTATAATTAATTGTCAAGATACCCTAAGCTTCTACCCTCATATCTACTGTACATTTATCAAAATCTTCGTATAGCCATTATGAATGAAATCCCATGAATATAAAGAATTGGACAATTCAATGAAGGATCTTATATCATCTCATATCAAACTGACTTACCTTACGGGACTAACTCGCCCTTTTAGGCTTAATAAAAAAAAACAGTCCTTTGAAAATACCCTTCAAATCCATTTCTGATATACTATCTTCTATATTTAGGCAGCTAATTATCCCTTAAGCCCCATGTTCTATTTCTAATTTCCTATAATCGTCTTTCAAAATATAGGGACCGAACGCGTGGAGTCTTACCTCGACGTTAGAAGCGCTCTCCACTAAGGTGTCCACCATCTGCTTACCAATGGTACCATTAACCACGTTACCTGTGAAGGGGGGAGGACACTTTCAGAGTTTTTTTCTTATTTTTCTTTTTTATAATACTTGTACAGAATTTTTACAAACCTCAATATCACTTTTATACGGAGGCAATGGAAGAAAACATGGACATATTTTATCAATGTTCTGAAAGCTAAAAATATATCAGGCTGTTTAAAGGCTTCCTTCCAGATTCCATTATCCTGACTACCTTTCGGACGTCCTCGACGACGACTTACCCTCAAGCATAGAGAGCATCATGATGACCATGTCCTTCTGGAGGTTGAGCAGATCCTTGAGCAGATCCACCTGGGAGGAATGCTTGCTGAGCTTATCCTGCATGTTGGCGAACAGGAAGAGGAAGCCGCCGACGGCGTCCCACAGACGGGAGTGCGCCAGCGTCTGCTGGTTGCCCACGCACGGGCCCTGGATCACCTCAGTCAGGGTGTTGAACACCTGCGCGGGAGCGTGGGATAAGAAACATGAAAATGAAGTAGTATTTATACATGTTAATTGCACACACACACACACACACACACACGCACACACACACACACACACACACACACACACACACACACACACACACACACACACACACACACACACACACACACACACACACACACATATATACACACACACACGCGCGCGCACGCATACACACACACACGCGCGCGCGCACGCATACACACACACACACACACACACACACACACACACACACACACACACACACACACACACACACACACACACACACATATATATATATATAGTATAAGTGCACATATACACATGTATATAGAAAGTTTTTTTTCTGCCCTTTTTACATTCTAACCTGGCTAGCAACACCAATGGCCTTGAAGAAGTTGGCCTTGCCGGCAGGGTCAATGATTTCCTTGGACGAGTAGTGCCAGTAGAAGTCCATGATAGACTCCTGAAGGCGCAGCAGGTAGTCGACAGTGCAGTTGATCACGTTCACCGTCGTGGTGTTTCCTGCCTGTGTCCTCAGGTAGTTCTGCCAGTCTGGAAGATAAGTCATGCATATTTGAAATGTCCTTTACCTATGAAATTAATCCTTTTTTAGAACTCATATGAGTGATATAAATAGCGACTCATAAATCCCAATCTTTGTTTATCGGGTTTCTATTGTTTGTTTTCCGCCCACAAAGGAAGCTCTGCGTAAACAAAACCGAACGCACGTAAATAATATTTTTTTGCTTAAATCATTATTCACTTAGAGACCTTCATTAAAAGATCATCAGGTCCGCATAATTAGAACAACAATTTCATCTTGACCTATTATGATATTACTATTTATATTTCCCACGATAAAAGAAACTACTGTCTTGAACTCCCGCTTAAACCCATCTTTATTTGTGGTGGTAATACTGTTAATATTTTTCACCTATGAAAGAAACTTCTACATACATTTCCCGCATGACATTGTTACCTGCGATATTACTGTTTATATCTTCCACCATTTAAAGAATTTACACTCCGCCCCTAAAAGGATACTCAAGAGACACACAAGTCTTCCCACGCACCGAGGTTGTGGCCTTCACAGGTGAGTTGGATGAAACGGAAGAGGGCGCAGGTGAACTCGGCGTCGTGCATGTTCTTCTCGCCCGCGCACCCATCGGCGCCCACGCCCAGGCCCTCTGCCTTCGTGTTGCGCTCGAAGGCGTCCAGGTCGAGCACGGAGCAGGAGTTCATGAGGCCGGCGATGGACAGGAAGAACGCAGCGTCCTTCTTCTCCTTCAGGTAGTTCAGCATAGCCTGAAGATAAAAACAGTAAGTTTTGTTACAAATTGTTGCAATCAGGAATGAATAAACAAATTAATAAATGAACATACTCAAATAATCACACAAATAAAAACTACCACAGATAAACTTATTCATGTGCATTCTTACACCGATATAAACATGGTCATAAGTTCACAGTAACACTCACCGCCTGGACGTCCACGTTGCCGCCACGCAGAATGGAGATGCCCAACTTGAGCGTGTTCATGACCATGTCGCTAGGCTGACCTCTGGCGGCAGAGACGTGCAGCAACACCATCTCGCTGACGCCTCTGTTGGACAGTCTCGCCTGGTGGAACAGCAGTTTCTGTTTCTCCAACTCTTGTTCCTGCGGGGAAGATAGAGATGTCAGAAAATGAATATCTTTTCGATTCTCTTCCTATTTCTATTGGAGGAATCGAGAATGGACAGAGAGTTGATGGAATTCCTAGGGATGACACTGAACCGACTGTGTGCCTCGTTCCTTGAGGTTTTTTTTTTTTTTTTTTTTTTTTTTTTTTTTTTTTTTTTTTTTTTTTTTTTTTTTTTTTTTTTTTTTTTTTTTTTTTTTTTTTTTTTTTTTTTTTTTTTTTTTTTTTTTTTTTTTTTTTTTTTTTTTTTTTTTTTTTTTTTTTTTTTTTTTTTTTTTTTTTTTTTTTTTTTTTTTTTTTTTTTTTTTTTTTTTTTTTTTTTTTTTTTTTTTTTTTTTTTTTTTTTTTTTTTTTTTTTTTTTTTTTTTTTTTTTTTTTTTTTTTTTTTTTTTTTTTTTTTTTTTTTTTTTTTTTTTTTTTTTTTTTTTTTTTTTTTTTTTTTTTTTTTTTTTTTTTTTTTTTTTTTTTTTTTTTTTTTTTTTTTTTTTTTTTTTTTTTTTTTTTTTTTTTTTTTTTTTTTTTTTTTTTTTTTTTTTTTTTTTTTTTTTTTTTTTTTTTTTTTTTTTTTTTTTTTTTTTTTTTTTTTTTTTTTTTTTTTTTTTTTTTTTTTTTTTTTTTTTCCTGAAGGAATGATTCGTGATTAGGGGAGAGGGTGGGGAAGGTGCAAGGTAGTAAGCGTGACGGAAGGACACTGGTGATAATAAGTGTGATAATCACAAGAATGAATCATGTGACAAGTACGCATAAAAATGGCAAAAAGGGAGAAGAAAATCGTCGTTATTGCCATCCAAAGCAAAGGCTTCTCCCCCACTTACCATGAGGTCCTCCATGGTGCGGGACCGCCCTCGCCGCGGGGGAGCATGTGAGTGGAGAAGAGAGGTCAGGTCAATGCGGGGGCAAGACAGGTCAAGAGGGGAAACTGGTCGTCTATCATGCAGAATCAGATACAATGGAGCCAGATTAGTTAGGAGAACACATCTATAGACGCCTACAGAATGTTAGTGCTGGTAACATATTCGATATTGTTAATAAGATGTCAGATCTATTTAGCAAATAAACAAGTATGAATTTAATTTATTAGCTGGCAAATATACATATGTATGTGTGCGTTAGGTAGATGTATGTGTAGGTAAACGGCGTCCGTTTGCGCGCGTGTGAATGAGTGTATATATGTAACAACCAAAATTGTCTTTAAAATTAGGTGGCATACAATCTGAAACAATGAACGATGACATTTGACCATCCACCTACTATCTGCTGCCATACCATGCGACAACTGTCAGATAACATCGTCTACTGTTGAAGATTGTACAACACATAATTTCGCAGATAATTCTGAGAGTTAGTGTGGATTCACGAAACAAAAAAACAACAATGTTAGTCTAGTCAAAATACACAGGAACATGACGTACATTAAGAGCAGCTGCTGGGTCCTCGTTGCCTCCTTCTTCCTCTCCCCCTCCTTCTTCTTCTCCTTCCTCTTCTTCTTCGCCGCATGACTTAGCTGTGGGAGAGACGGAAGGAAAAGGTAATTATTATCTGTTTTTTTTTTGTTTTGTTTTTTTTTTATCCCCGCAAGTGCTTCTGTTTACATAGAGAGAGGGGCGAGATGTAATAGGAATTACTCTTTCGTCTTTTGGGTTATACTGTATGTCTCATGAGCATTTACACCTGAGTAATTTGATTTTACTCATTCCATTCCCCTGGCTTTACTCATTTGTGGTTCATGTTTAGTCAAGAACGATTAACCCTCATATCTTCATCTCGTAACCCTCATTCGCATATATAAAATAGTCACTGACATTGGATCCTCTTTTTCTTCCTAAGTGCTAATGTCTTTGTTGATTTTACTTTCCATCCTAGTCTCATCTGACGCCGCTCTCCTCCTTCTCTCAACCTTCTATTCTTCCATCTCCCCTTCACTCCTTTCTACAGTTATCATCCCTCCCCATTCCCTATCATCCCTCAATCCTCGCCCTCAGCACCCACAAACTCACCCTCATCCTTTCTCTCTTCCTCCCTGTATGTCCTTTTCCACTCT